GCACTCTTCTAAATTTATTAAGACATAAGGATTTCATTGTCATTAGAAGAATTTATGAGACCATTTTTTCCAATGATCATTCTTTCCTTGTGAACTAAACCCACTTTTTAGTTCACTAAAACTAAGAATGATAATTGCCAATATGAAACTTTTTGTTTTCAATGTAAAAGCAAACAGAATGGAATAACTATTTTAATTAGCATTTTTTTATTAAAATGTTGAGAACAAATCATTCCTTTCTGAGAAACAATATGAAACCTCTGTAATTCGCACAAAATAGCAAAAATCCTCATCAATCTCAAAGGTTTTATATCTAATATAATCACATAAGGAATATATACCCTTATTAGTATCCCTGATTAATAGAAAAAAGGTTCTTTAAAGAAAAGGTATGATGATCAAGAAGTTGATAAGGATGATGAAGAGGTTCAGGAGGATAATGATTGGAAAGAGGAGGAAGCGAACGATTAGGTTCCAAAACACCCTAAAAGAAATTTAATGCAGTCAAAGGCAGAAGGCAGTGGGACCCTTCAATCAACCAAGGCACAAGGATTTAAAAAGGTAGTCACTTGAGTGAAGCACAAATTACAGTTATTTGCATCTAATAAACTTAAAAACATAGAGTTAGCTCAGGCCTATTCCTGCCCTCAAAAAAGATTAGGAGAAAGGGAGCCTGTATTCAGTCTCTACAGTGTACTGAACAAAGATATGCAGCTGGATTGCAAAAAGGAAACATCAGCAGTTAATTTGAATCCTAAATTGTGCAATTCCAACAATCTTATGATGGTCATGGCAGAAAAGGAGAACTTAACATAATTGTTCAGTATTGAAGATCAGCAAAGACATTTTCCTAAATAATATGAAATAAGAAGCTGACAAAGCAGTAAGTTCAAAATTATTCAATCTCATAGTTAACATTGAGAACTATCAGTGATCAAAACAAAGTGGCAGAATCAATAATATATAAGTAGGACATATCATGAAAATGCAGGATACAAATCATACAAGCACCTAACAGATGCCAACAAGCTGAACATTATAAATTAAGAAGGAATGAAGATATATAAAACATACTTGACAATAAACAGAAGTAACAACATAAAGGAAACAATCAATAGTAGCAATAAATATTAAAAATAAGGCTGCGTATTATTCAAGCACTCAACAGATGTTATCCAGACAAAAATTACAATTCAGAGTCATATGTGAAATAAAAGGTTTGAAGAATCTAACCCCAAATAATGCCAGTGAATCAACAACTGCCTTGGATGGTTTTCCTTGTACTGCAATAACATAATAAATTTAAGCTCCATATATCAGGATTAATATCTTAACACAAAAGGCAACACTTCAGCAAAAAGCTGAAGTGAAGACCAAATAAGTAAATAATTATGCTTTAAGAATTAACTTACTAAATATCACAGGTAAAATAATCAGGCAAATAAGGGAAGCCAAGCTTACTAAGAGTGAGCATCCCAGTGCATGTAACCAAAGACCTGTCCAAAACACAGAAGTCTGAATAAGGTCCAAACATCCTATCAGAATCGCATCAGTTATATGAAATAACACAGTTTGGATGTTCAACAACAAAAATGCAAAGATTAATAAGAGCAGAACATAGGGATTTAGCAGTGTCCAGCAGAGTGGAGAAATTCCAACATGACAAGCAAATATGGTAGGGAAAAAAAACCCAAGAGCGTCATATCAATATCAGCATTAAACTCAATGGATGCTAACCAAAGAATTTCTGAACTATCAACTTAGAGACAGTTTTAGGAGCAATATTTAACTAAGTCTATCAGTCTAGTATGAAAATGAAGTTTCTGGAATCAGTACTTGATATTTAGGCAACTTCTTCTCCAATTAATTGGCCAGTTTACATAACAAAAGCATAAGACTATGGAGCAAGAGTCCATTTACTAAACCTACTTACTTAGGCCAACATTAATACAAATATATGTACTGCTATATTGTAGCATTAGATTATCACACTGTTGCCTACTTTGAGGCAACTACAACTTAGCAAGAAGACCAATGACAAGGTGGCATTTCATTCAACATTTTCTAGAAAACAATATACATACTTTGCCTCATGGACAAATGGCTGCATGATAAGTGTTAGAAGCTTATATGTGATTAAACCCAACATGCCAAGATGGTGCCTGGCACTATAAGTATGCAGGACACACATCCTTTGGCCAGCTGTCAAGCAGTGGATGCCCTGAAACAACATCCATAGCAACTAATTGATACAACATCTCGAAGCAAGATGTGGGCTTACAACCAGCTACAGACCAGATCTTCATCATTGATTTCCCTTGCTACAAGTTGAAACACCAGCTGAAAACAATACAATTGGCCCCAAAGATCTATTTTAAAAGGGACAATTCTGCCCACCTCAAGTAAAAATCACACTCACATTTTGATTAAACTAATATCCTGATCCCACTACTTTCTCAACTAATTTAAAACCCTACAACAGTGATCCTTGTTCTTCCCACTCAATCATACATAGAACAAACTAATTTTATGCATTGAAAATAAATTAAATATCTACTCCTGAAGATGCGCATAAAAAGTGTCTTATTTCAAAACATCATCTCTAGATTAGTGAAATGATTCCTAGGATGCAAAAGTCATCAGCGGATAACTCTAAAATGACATCTATAAACCAAAATGCGCACCTTTACTCTTCATCTACTCATAAGATGATAATGTGAGCTATTGGATTGTGCTAAATAAATCAGCTCAAGTGTCAAGTGCATAATCAAGCCATTCAAGTCAATAAAATGAACTGCTCAAGTTAAGACAAAAGCTTTCCCCTCAGAACTTAAGTCAAACTTCATCAAGTTTCATTTTTATACTCGAACTCAACTTGAGAAGACACTGAACATACTACAGAACCGACTTGACTCAACTCAGTTACTATCGAAATAAAAATCAAGCTTGAGTTCAAGTAAAAAAGATCAACTACTATACAAAAATTTTTTTAAAAAAAGTGATAACAACTCAGTTACACTTAGATTGCTAGAGAAAAAGTAATTTCTTTTCTATTTGATATTGACTTTCTCGAGAAACAAACAGGGAAAAAATGAAAGAAAATGTAACAGAAAAAGTCATTTAAAATTTACCAAAACCGGCGAGGACTTGATGAGCGTGATCGTGATCATCTCGGTAAGGCCCAAATCCGTACAATTTCATGTCTTCCTCCTCAGCCAACTCCTCCGGCAACATCATCATCATCTTCTTCTTCTTCTTCTCCTCCTCCACCACATGGTGGTGCTGATGATGGTCATGATCATGGTGATGATGGTGGTGGTGGTCATGATCATGGTGATGATGGTGGTGGTGGTCATGCCCATGCCCATGCCCATGATCACAATGATGATGATGCCCATGGTCCCCGTTAGCCGGCGACATACCGAATCCACTGGCGAAACACAGATCCAAACTCACCAAAACCAAAAGCGCCGCTAAAAAGATCCATGTTTTGGCAACCAACATTATTCTTCTTTTCTCTTTCAAAATTTGTCCTTTCTTCTTTGGGATTTTATAGAAACGCGGAGAAAGAATACGGAATATTGTAAGCGAAAGGCAGTGTTTGGATAGGGGTAGATAAGAAACAGTAAGACGGTATAAGAGTAAGACTAGGAGTGAGAAGGGCGTTTGCAGGTGCCTTCAATGGTGATGAAACAAACAATGACTAAAAAAACTACGATTACTGCCACTATGATGCCGAAGGTAACCACATCCATTCTTGTACCACAAGATTAGCTGTCTATTTTAATAATAATTTAATATTCCTTTTTGGTACAATTTCTGGGGATTCTGGGGTAAACCGAACAAAACGTACATTTGTGACAAAAGAAAATGGAATCTAATTAGGTTTACCACAGACTGATGCAGAGAAGAAAAGGGCAAGAGGACCTGGCACTTGCCTGCCTCTGTCTGTGTCTGTGCTAGTGCTAGGATTTGGATTTGGATTTGGTAGCAGATTAAATGCTTTTTTCCTGGTTTAATGCAATTATTATTGGTGTGACTATGACATTTATTGTCGCCATAAGAGATAATTTCATTGTTACCCTTATTCGGTGGACCACCGTTTCTTGCATGCGATTCCACCCAGGTCTCTTTAACCGCTCTTTTTCCTAGTTTTTACTGTTATTCTGCATACTTGCACATATTCATGTATCATACCACAACTTACATGCCTTTGCCTGCATAACGTTATAATTAAAATTTGATTTTTTTTATATAAATTAATTTTGCTTCAAAGTTAATATAAATAAATATATTTACCTGTTAAAATAATTTGGAAGGTTAATTGACCATTTTAATAAATTAAAAGTCATTTTCTAGAGGTGTAATCTGCTTCAACCATAAAGCTGTTCGGTAATTTAAGGAATGCTAGAGTTGCTGCTGACCTGTAGGAAAATGGTAGGCATACAGGGCTTAGAATGAGACCCCACATACTACAATTAAATAGTTACTATTCAAGCTACCAAGGCACTGAAAATAACAAAGACATCAGTGAAGAAGAAGAAGAACAAAATGATATTCTCTTGGCCCTGGAAACAAAGGCTACTCCTCTATTGGAATTGTCTGGTGGACAATAATAAACTACTAAATATACAAGGATAGTAACCTGGTTTAATCTTATAGTTTGGAACAAGAGTATTATCCTCAGGCATACCTTCAGCCTGTGGCCTTATAATAATGCTAAAAACTTAACTTTGGCTAGGTTTTTTTCCTTATATTTTTGGGTTATAGAACACATTTTTTAAATTAAATCATATAGCAATTCGTATCATAGCCAAGTGCAGGCCGGGTGGATGGCAACAAGATTGGATGTTTATTGATGATGTGTTGCAATTCTGTAGGGATATATGGGAGACTGTTATTTGAGCACAGCCTTTACAATTGTGTGTATTAAATTAACTCTTGGAAAATGAATAACAAAAGACTAAAAGAAATCATAATAATAATAAACCAATAACAACTAACAGGGAAATAATTTCAACAAGTTTAGTGAAGACATATATAGGGGCAGCAGGTAACCTGGGAAAAGCCTAAGAAACATGCAAGTTTTACGTCTGAAATGCCACTTCACTAATAAAGTCAGGGTGCAACCACTTCTTGTATCATCATCATCGGCGCAATAACTTAAGTCCACTACTCCATTGGTCTTCTCCAACCAATACATGAAAGGGAAGCAGCCATGCAGTAAGGACTGAAACAAATGCGTTGCTAATAGTTCAAAAAGCTGCTGGAGAAAAGCTTTCTACAGAATCGGCACCAGCGTGTATAAATTTCCAGGATGGCAAAACCAATTATTGGTGTCACATAAAGCATCACAGAGATCGTACAATATGCATTTCCAAAGATACCAAACTTCCTACACTAAAATGATAATGGTCACACTGGAATACTTATGTACATAAACATGAAACGCGAGCAAAATCCAAGAAAGAAAGGTCAGCACTATTATAACACTCTCCATTTTAGTTTTCCCCCTATCTCAACAGACAAAAGAGTTAATGACAACTTTCAGACTACTTATCTATGAGTGTTGCCCTCAAAGCAAATACCATCCACACGCACATCTTCAAATGTCAGTCACCTGTGGAAGTCCTCCTACCAATTCACAATCATACACTAGTGTACAATCCCTTTCATATTCACAAGGTTCCGCTGCTTTAATTGAGTGTACAGTTGTTGGAACTATAAATGGTAGCCTCTTCCTACACACAAACAAAAAAAAAAGACCATGATCAACTTTGCACTCAATCATTGAGCCAAAACTTTAAAAACACACACACACACACACACACGCATTATTAAAGTCAATATAACTGAAGGGTCATGAAGAATTTGGTTCAAACCAGAGACTGAAAACTTAATGCAAGTACATCACATCATTCATGCGGGTATGAGAACAAAATATCTTTCAGCATATTCATATGCATGCACTAGTGTGTCTAAAAGCGTGAATAGCACATATCCAACCCCCACCCCTCAACCCCCTCTCTACTTCCAAATACATAAGAGGCCCATTCGATCCATGTTAAAGTAAAGGATGGTGCTATATGCCCAGGCATTAGTATCATCTAATTTCTATCTCCAGATCCACAGAAGGGGAGGAATTAATGCTACTAATAAAACAGCATAAACAGAAGAGATACATGGTTGGAAAAACATACCGGTTCTGGCTTCTAAATTTAACTATGAGGTGGAGAGCCTAGCTCAGAACCACATACTGACGTGTATGTAGATACTGTATCTTCCTTTGATATGGCGACAAAGTTTAGAGGTGCTGTAGACAACCTTCTCATTTCCTTGAAGTAGCCATTTTGACGCCCTGAGTAAGATCGTGGTGTAAGTAGCTCTGGAGTTCCTCCACCAACTGAATTCCGACGAGGTGTAGGAGTCATCGATCCGTTACCATTTGCTCGATATCCATTTGGCTTTCTGAAGCTGTTACTTTTTCTAGGACTAGGTTTTGACCCATACATGGCTTCTCTCTCTGTAAGGAGCAGATCTTGAATCTTCTTTTGGTCCTGTAAAATGGAAGATAGAAATGGTTAATGTACCATTCGTAGATATAGATGCACAACATTCAATGTAGACTAATTGGAAATGCCAGTCATCGCATTAAAAATTACACTAAATAAGTATAAAAGAGAAGAGCGAAGAGATGAAAAAACAGAAAGGAGACCAAGGCTAAGTTTCATAAACCCCCATAGTAAGTAGTATTTCACAAGTAAAAGCATATCAAATTACCCTGTATCTCTTCTTTTCCTCTTCTCTCTGTTTTCTCGTCAGTTTATAGTCCTCCAATATCGACACTAGTCGTACCTACATATCATGTTTAAAAACAAGCTTCTTCAAAAAAAATTCCAAATGAACATGATTGTCTGTGTGAGCAAGTCAGTGTGCACACGCCTGTTCAAGCGCATTTAAACAAGTTCACAGAAACTTAAGGTGCAAAAGAACTGCTGACCCCATCATACAGAAACAACATCTTTTTTTCTTCTTCCCAAGCTAGTGTTCTGTTGATAAGATTATCCACCATTGCTGCAAAAAGGGTATCTTATCAGCTCCAACAGTACCACTGCATCCATCAGAAAGAGGACCTTTAAGGAGAGTAAATACCTGGAATTTTGCTTATAGTTATTCGAGCTTTTTCTGCACGTTTAAGGTTAATGTGTGCACCTCTTCCAGCATTGTACCTGTTATGATCCTGAAATTCAAAAAGAAGATTTAACAAGTGATGCTCTAACAATTTATAGAGACAAATTGAATTAGAAATGTTGGTCAATAAACTTTGATTTAGTTTGACTTCTGGATTAGTCTACAAGCTATGTTGAAGAGAAAGTCTTGACAGATTGCACATGCGAGATACACACAAACACCCCACAAAGAAGGGCCCACTATACCCTCTCTCTACTTAATCCAGCTTACTCGATTGTAGTCTTCAAGCCAATTTTCTTCTTCACATGCAGAAAGCCATCGGTCTACCCTATCCATTATTTCTTTTCGGCTTAGAGCTTCATCTTTAGCTTTAGTTATCTGTGCTTCAATGTTCGCTAAAAGTTCCGAAGGGTCCACTAGACCTGGACAACAACAGCAACATACATCACTATCTATGTCAGCAGCATGTAGATTCAAAAAAAAAAATTGTCTGAATGCAGAACATTATTGCGAGGAAACAAGAAAGCCATACCAGAATCAATCAATGCATTAGACTTCTCAGCAGCTGTACTTGCATCAGGTTCAATATGAGTCATTCTGCAAATCTCCTCCAATTCTGATCTCCTTTTCATGACAAGTTCTTTCATTCTGCTAGCTTTCAGTTTGGTGAGCTTCTCCACTTCAGCTGATGCCTGTCAGAAAAGCAAAAAAAAAAAAAATTGAGCACCTGCTTTTCTGTTATTAACAAAAAGCAGATATGTTATGTGGTGATACCTGTGCAATCATCTCAGTTGAAAGAACACCTGGCTCGGTAACTTCAGCTTCTGATAATTTAAGAACAGAAGTAGCCCTTGAAAAACCATTCTTCTCTGCTTGGGACGAATCCATCAAGTTCCAGAGTTCAAATAGTGCAGCTACAATATCCTTCAGCTGCATTTTAAAAACAGGGTTTCACTTCAAATTTTACAAGAAAACCTAATTGAAAGCTAGGGAAGGTTATTGACTACCTTCTGGATTCGTATTCTTCTTTCAGTTTTCAGTTCGTTAATAGTCTGCTCTAGACCTTCAAATGTTCCATTGCTAATATTTGTTGATTGTTCCTGGTTCACCTTTTGCAAGCTAGGATGCACATCGCTTACAGTCTGGGAAAAATCCAACCCTAGCACCCCACAAAGCAAATGCACCTCATTTACATATTCCAAAACCTTACGCAGGCGATCAGACTGCAAACAACAGAATATCATAAAAATCTTGAATAAGTTATAAAAAACCTATTGAAATCCATTCAGAGAATTAAATATGCCTGTAATTTTCCAGAAAAGCATATGAAACCTTGCACCCATTTCTGGCCATGTATAATAGCCTTCATCTTGTAATAAATTTGTTCAGGTATAGAAATCACTCAACGCTAACTATAAATAGATGTAAAAAGAAGGGCAAAGATGTCAATTCAGAAAAGGAAAAACTGTATTTAAAGTAATCAGATAGTTTTTTTTTTTTGGCAACAGCAATAGCGATATATTTACAATAAGTTTTCTAAAAAATTGTAGAATTAAAAAAGCTTCCTGACTTCCTTGACAACTGTATTGAAATTCACAGTTAATAAAATTATCAAAACTTTCTTAAATTGCTAAAAGTAAAATTACCAATTATCTAAGCAGATTATCTAAAAACTGCAGAAAAACCAATCATCAATATCCAGAGCGCAAGCATCCAGGAACTTCACATGACATTTCATAATGTAGAATCCATACCTTCTCCTTCTGAAGAGTTTGAAGATGCGTCTGAAATTCAGTAAGCCTTCTTAATGATAAGTCTTGGTCTTCCAGTGCTAAAGAGTTAATATCATTGGGATAGTTGAAACCAGATATTTCTCCACTGATCTTTTCAATTTGAGTCTTTATATCTGCAAATTGCTTTATTCTTTCTTCTCTCTTCATCCTGAGATCCTCAAGCAGTGGAGTAACAGATGTGAGTTTTTCTTTCAATGATGCCATTTTCTTCTGTGTCTGAATCTGTGTGTAATAAAATAAAAAAATTTGCAAGTCATATCGCATAAGAAAATGCATGAAATGAGATGTGATATCTTCAGTAATCCAATGCCAGGGAATTCTTTTTACCGGTGAATGAATATTGAGCTCCCCTAGAGCAGCCATAAGTGTTGCAACCTCAGCTTCCTTAGCAGCAACAGATTGATGTAATCGAGCCTTCGCATTGGCAGCTTCCTCAACCTTCCGGCGGTAGACTTCTAAGCATTCCCTCTCCAATTCCAATAGCATACGGTCTTTATCAGCTTCGCTCTCACCAATGTCACTCCATATTTGCTGCTCAGGACAAAAAGAAAAAACATTAAAGAGTTGAAATGTACATTTAATTCTCTTTCAGGATTGAGGCTCAGAAGCTTGCCAACTTGCACATAAATTAGCTTACGAGAAACTTAATGTAAAAGAATGTAAAGAGAGAAAACTAACGACAAAAATTAATTCCAATCATGCTCAAAATGATCCACCATCCATAAAAGTGACAAAACGGACAAAAAATGAAACAGGACAGTGAAATAACAAACCTTTCAAAACTAAAAGGGTGAAATAATATTTATGTACGTGTGTATCTATACGTACTGGAAAGCTAATTTAATTTACAAATTGCATCAAGTTATTCTACCGAAAGCCTCATCGTTACCCTGCACTATCCGGCTTACCAAAAACAAAAGAAGAGAGCTAATGATATTTTCCAAACCCATGAACACTGAAATACAGACATAAAAAACAGAGAAAAATGCCCAAGAGACAGTAATAAGCTAAACTTTTACAAATAAAGGGAGTGGAACAAAAATTCAACCTAGAGGTGATAGAACGATAAATTTTTCATTAAATTAAAAGAGTCGGACAACCCCCGAAAGAAACCATTTGAAAAATCATTAAAATCCTTGCTATTAAAAAATCAAGACCAGTTTATACAAATAGAAAACAATTTAAAAAAAAAACTTCAGTAAACAGATCACTGGCACAGGAACGCCCTTTAAACTTAAACTTAAAGCAGAAGAATAAGACTATTTTTCTCTTCAGACACTCAAAAAGACCTAAAGAGGCCTTGAATTCATAGCTCTACTAGACCCATTATGATATATGAGTTAAATAAAGAGAAAACAATAAATGCTTTTATCTTTTAACAAAGGCATAAACTTTGTCAAACAACCATCATTGTGAAAAAGGGCAGTTTCCAAACAAGAAATAAGGAACAAGAAAACCCATTTCCCTCCTTTCTTTCCCAAAGACCAGCCTTTGCATGGAACAAGAAACTCAAAACACCAAAAAAGGGGAAAATAAAAGATGAAGAAGAAGAAATATAGATAAGAGAAAGGCAAAGAGGACCTGAAGTTCTCTAAGCAATGCATTGCAGCTAGTGCTTGTACGAACACTGGTGGCTAAAGGACTCCCAATGGCCAACATTTCCACAGATCTCTCTCTCCAATTACGCAACACCGAAATTTCAAGTGACCCCAAGAGAAAAACAAAGACTCTTTAGTTACTTCCCAGCAGCAAAGTTCAAGAGAGAACCTCCCCAACAAAAAAAAAAACTCAAAAGAAAGAAAAAGAACGGAAGTGAGAGGGAAACGAGTAGATATCAAAAGTCAAAAGAGACATTGCATTGAAACAAGCAACCTCAGCCTTCCTTCAGATCTGAAACACTTCAAATGCAAAACACCCAACAAACTCTTGAAATTTTTTCCATTAAAAAAAATGCAAAACAATGAAAACACCTACCAAAAAGGATCTGTAGACAGAAGATAGTTAAAGGTAAAGTTTTTCACTTTTGGGTGTTCTTTCTTTTTTCAAAAATTTTTTGGAGAAGACAAGAGAAAACAGAGACAGTAATGATTGCTAATAAAGAAAAGGAATTAAGCTTTAAAAGGCACCAAAAAACTGAGATAAAAAATGGGTTTTGCTTAACATCACTAGGGTTTGGCTTAAATGCTCCCAATGTAGTAGGTTAGAGGAGATTATCACAGAAGAAGGAGAAGAAGAAGAAGAATAAAAGTTCCTTTCTTTTCTTTCCTTTTCTTTTCTTTTCCTTTTCTTCTTGGGTTTTGGGTACTGAAACTCAGTAAAATCTGAGTTGAAAAAAAAAGTACACTGAACTAAAATCCAACCTTTTTTATTTTAACATTAAATAAGGTAATTAATTATAGTATTTTGTTTGGAAATTGGAGAAGAAAGGAACCGACGGATGATCCATGCTTACCCACTCTCCGATCTTGAGCGTGCATGACACGTCCCAATAAGGAGTGGCTTTGGTATTTAAAGTCCAGATGACGTGTAGAGTTATTAGACAGGCTCGCCTATACCCTTTGAATGACTACCGACTCCAGATAGCTGTTATGATGTTGAGGTTTAACATGCAAATACAATACGACATTAATTCATTGAAATAATAATAATAATAACATTACATGAATTTGGATTTCGTACTTTTGTTATCAGCTAAAAATACTACATGGTTGTATCAGTAACCTACTTTCAGCTTGGTTGGTAGAAGTAGGTTTTCTTTTTGAAGGCAAGAAAGATAAATGGAAGCGAAATATTCTTTGGGAATGTGATTCAAGTAAAGTAATGTTTTACCTGATGGAAAGCTACTCAAAACTCAAGAGCAAAGCTTTAAATGAGGCATTGCCCATTTGGAACAATTTGTTTGTGGTTCTGGTTCTGACTCTGTACTTTGCTTGCTACTTTGATACAAGTAGGTTTACCTTGCTTTATAGCTTGTATGTATTTTTTGAGATATTTTAGCATTAATGTCACTGTACTTTCTCTGCTTTTCTTTTCTTTTTTTTACTTTGAATTTTATAAATAGTTAATAGCATAAGTAGAACCAACTAACTCAATTATAATGAGCCGACAAATTATTCACAAAGTAGGGGAATTATTTTGATACTTTAAGAGGCTTTATATTAATTATATTATTATAGGAACGAATGTGACATGGAAGTTGACCCGAAAAGCAACAACAATTAGGGAAAAACTTTAGAAACTTAATGAAGTTGTATCATTATAAAGAGATTCCACTTTAATCCTCTTTCTTTAGGGGTTCATTTTACTAAACACAGCTAAAATTGTCTCAACTCTTTGCACCATCATTGGCATCTCAATAATAAGTGAAAAAAAAATTTTAATACTTCACGATTCAAATTTCATTTAATAATTATTAATATTCTTTTCACGTGGACAAAATCTAAATTTGAAAGAATTTTTTTAAAAATTTTTTATATAAGGATTTAAAAAGTTTTTAAATTATTTAAAAAGTTTTAAATAAATTTTTATTTTTTATTACATTCAATCAATTTTATATACTTTCAATTATAAGTCAAGTAAGTCCTTATAATTATTAATTGATTAATTGTCATTTGTTATTTTTTTTATGTTATGTAATGCTTACTTGAAGTGTGAAAATATTACGTAACACCGTATCAATATACCATATCATCATTAAGTATAACATATCTACACACTATGTTAATATCACGTGATATAAAAAAAATAAATAATATTTTGATTAATAACAGTTAATCGATTATTAGCTTTAAAAACCTATTTGATCAAAAATAAAAATATAAAAACTTAATTAAATAAAATATAAAAAATAAAATTTATTTAAAATTTTTAAATAATTTATAAATTTGTAAAAATATTATATCTAAAAGTTTAGAAAATAAGACAGTTTCATGGCCATGTAGGATATAAGATATGGAGGCCGATTGACCCTTTTTTACTATATACGAAGACATCAATGTTGCCATGAGGTATAGTTTCAACCATAATGATTAATCGAATTTTGAAAAATAATAAAGTTTTAAATTCAATTATAATTTTGTATGAGTGAATAATGTTTCAAAAGTTGTCTTTCGATATAAGAATAAATAATTTTTTAAAAAAAATTAAAAGTTTTATTTTCTTTTGACTTTTTTTAATAACAAAATGTCTCATCTTATCTTCCTAAAGGAATAATTATGTTTGACAGTGTATTACACTATAATTATTTATTTTTTGAACATATATTTAAATAATTTATTATTTTTAATCAACTCTGATATGCTTTGCTGTTACTATATTATATTATTGTTTGGTAATTCAACTGAACATTAAGAAAACAACCAAATAAATTCTTAGTTCGCATTTTGTCTTCACGCATTTCTTTGTGAAGATTGTCTCATATTTTTTACAAACTCTTTTCCTTTTTTTATCAATTCACTAATTAACTTCTTCAATAATGTCCAATCATATAGTATATTTGCATTAGTTTTTTATACTTTTAATTTATTTATTTTTAATAGAATATTAACTTAATAGGACATCTCTAATTATTATATATACATATATACACACATATTATTATAAATTCTCTGAAAAAAATATAAATTTGCAACAAGTACCAAAGAATATACATTGCAAATACCCAAAAAAAATTGCAACAAGTATATATTTATAAATAAAGGAGGAAGATAAGAAGCATAGGGTGCTTATACACATGCTTATATCATATGGCCCCCTCAGTGTTAAAGGCTGGCTGTCTCTTATTAACAGAATGTGACATTTCATCTACCATAATAGCACCATTTTTTTTCTTTTGCTTGACTTTTTTGTTGGTTTTTTTTTCTTTTTTTCTTTTTTTTTTTTTGCTTTTTCCTACCCCATTATTTACCCCACAACCTAGTTTTGATGATGTTTAGTCAAGAGTAATTATTCATTGCAATACCTAACCTTACATTTACATCAACTTTGCTCTTGCAATTTTTTGTCATTGGTAAATTGTCAAATTCAGAAAACTATAATGGTACTAATTAATTATTGAACATACAATCTAATAAATAATATCTCTTCCTTTTACAGGGTTTATATATATATATATATATATGTCCATTGACTAGAGACATGAAAGATAACTTTCTTCATATATTTTTCCATTAAAAGATAAATATATACTTACACTAATATCCAAAGATAAGAAAATGTTGGGTTATCTGATATAAATAACAAATCGACAACTATGTAACCACATAAATTGAGAACAGTTATGTTTACTACATTCAATGTCCTTGATTGTTAACTAATTAAATAAGATTCACTTTATCATTATTTTTTTTGTCTCATTATCATAATCTAATAAATTTATTTATGGTATCTTATAACAAAAATTGGAAAACAAATGTGCCTATACATAAAAAGACCAAATTTTTATGAGCAAAATTAGAAGATGTAACAGGCTACATAAACTAGGAAGGCACCAAGAGTAGTACAAAATTGAATTGTAGTTAGGTTGATCTGCTTTAAATTTCTTTTTAAGAAGTCAGTTTGAAATACATGTTTAAGAAAATTGAAAAACCAATAAAACTAATTACACATTTAGGACTCGAATTATAATAAAATTATTGTTTTGATATTTGAAAAAAAATTCGTAATTAAGTTTTTGAATTACGATCCCGTCCATCGGTTTGCATCATTGGTTAATTTCGTTAATTAAACAAATATTAAAAATAAAAAAAAATGACAGGATACATCGTGATTGGGTATTTTTAAATACATCAATAATTTGATTAATAAAGTTCATAAAAAATATGATTTCTTTTATAAAAGTAAAGTCTGAATGCTTAATTATGAGTTCTTTTTCCTTTCAATACCAAATCGATAATTTCATTAGAGTTCAATTGTCAAATGTGGAACTAACCCAACCTAAAACTACAAATTACATGCCTCGTGTAAATTTAGTTTTTCAATTCAATCTTTAGTCAATTCATATGCATAGGTTTTATTGCAAAAAATATAAATTGACTTAAATTTAAAACCATAGGTATGATAAATGGTTTGCTACTTGAATTTTCTTTTTATATTGCAAAAAAGGAGTAAAATAAAAGAAGAAGAAGAAGAATAAGTAACAGAGATTGATTGACCTTTGATCTGTATGTTAGCTGAAAGGAAGAGCATAGCTAACATTTTTCAAAGACATTATAATAATCCCATTGGAGAGCAACTTGGCCCAAATAAACTATCATTGCTTTGTTTGATAGACCTTTGATCTACCAACATTAATACCATTTTATCTCAATAATCATGTAATTATTGACATAACCTCTTCTTGTTGGTTTGGTGGGTTAGATTGCTACACATTCTTAATCCAATCGATAACTAATCATAATATACATTACAAAACTAACAAACAACAATTCATTTGTATTTCTTTTTTCCCTTTTCTTTGGAGGGACTAACCATAGAGAGAGAAAAGACAAAGACAGAAAAAATATAGCTGGCCTAGGGAGAAAATACAGGGTTATGGACCCTCAATGTCCACAGCAACAATTATGGGGGAAAATAACAAAAGATGCCAATCCCAAATGGATGATTAGGAAATTTCTCAAAAATTCTCATGGTCCCCCCACTTGTTATCCTCTCAATTTTCCCTTTTGCAATGGTGAAAACAAAAATAAAAAGAGAAAAACTAAAGCAATTGAGCATCTATCACTTTGATTATTATTCTTTGTTCCACCTAATCAAATATCCTGACCCAACCTTTATAGTCCAAAAAGGGTAAAAAAAACACTAAGTGATTGATTATTGAGCAGATTGGCATCATTCTTCTATTCTAGCAGTTTAGCAAAAAAGAAAAGGGTTATGGTTATCATTATTAAAGTGAAAAAAAGGGTACAAAACCAAATGTGAGGCTGGCAATCTAAGAGTCTAATTTTCAACTCATTTCTTCTTTTGCATATCTTTATTCTTTGAGGTATTAGTTCATCATCGGATAACTTCTTTAGGGTTAAAGAGGGATGCAACTAATATCTATGAACTTAACATTCTGACCACATAAAAAAGATGGGAAATGTTCAATTATTATCAAATAAGTACTTGAGCATTTGACTCATTAATTGATGTTTGATCTCCTTATTTAAAGAGTAAGGTTCGAATTTCTCAATTCTAAAAAAAAGTATTCAAGATCATGCTCACATCTTGTAGGTGAGAATTCCATTTTAATGGGAAGATCTTTAGGGTTGTTAAATATGCATGCTATAGACCATGAAAAGCTTCTCATAGAGAATAATCCAGGGGTTAAAACC